TTTGTTTGTGTATACGCAATGGCTGAGCTAGACATGTTCCATAAGTTTGGGTGGTCTAGCTTTATGCCATATGTAAGCTGGGTATAAGGGGATAAATCATTGAAAGACTATGAACTATTGTTTGCTAAATTGTCTTGGGGGTGGTGAGAGCACTTACCTTTGCGGTTTGGCCTGCATGTGACTGAGTGGTGCCGCTACTTAGTCTGAGATTCAGTTGATAGGTAGTTGCTTTAGTTGCTCGCCACGTGCTAGAGCCATAGGAGTTAGTTTCAATTCCTGCATTTTCTGAGCTGAGATTTTTTTTACTTTAGTTTCAATTCCTGCATTTTTTGAGCTGAGATTTTTTTTACTTAGATCAATTTTTGCATTTTCTGGGGTCTTTTATTTATAGTTGGTCTTGTATAAATCTTGGTAAGCCATTTTCTCTACGGCAAGCGCTGTCGAAATTTCTACAAAACCAAGGAGTTAGTCAGACTTTGTCTTTTTCAGGGTCCAGTTTTTCTAACTTTTTGGCTTAGTAAAAATCTGGAAAGCCTCCTTTTCTAAAGGCAGTGCTGCCCAAATTTTTACTAATTCGAGGAGTTAGACAAAATCAGACTTTGAAAAGTGAAAGTCATTTTAAATTCTGAACTTAGCTTTGTATAAATTTTGGAATAGCACTATCTCTACAGAAAGCGCTGCCGAAATTTCTACAAATCTAAGGAGTTAGTTAAATTTTATCTTAGTTGAACTCAGGTCTTGTTTCTGAGTTCGTATCTGACTTAGTATAAATCTGGGGAGTTTACCTTTCTAAAGGAAGTACTGCCCAAATTTTTACTAATTCAGGGAGTTAGACAAATTTTGACTTTTCAGAGTTAGGGATTATTTCTGTTTGCATATTTGAGCTTATATAAGTTTTGAGAAGACACTTTTCCTACTGGAAGCGCTACCGAAATTTTCTTAGTTTAGAGGAGTTAGATTATATTTTGACAGGTGGCAATTCTGGCGATCCACTCTGTATAGAGGAGATTTTGTCGGGGTCTACCTTTCTTTGGGCACGAGCTTGGAGGCAGGCTCAGGCTTAGCTTGTAGAAGGATCTTGGGTGATAATGTGTTATAGAGTTGTATTCTCCATACGCTTATGATTTTAGCTTGGGGATTGGCCTGTCTTATGTTACAGGTTTTCTTGATCGATTGAGTCAGGATTTGGGCTGGATTCAGCTTGATCCTACGAGGATCATCTTCTGTTATCACTGATAACAGGTCGGTTGCCGATTCGTCGGTTACGACTCAACTCCAATCCACTCTTGCCACTCAACCTAAAGGCTTTAGCCTTGTGATTTGAGTTGTTTTGTTGTGTTTTCACACGGACTTTATTTTGAACGGTCATTTAAAGAAAAGTACTGAGTATTTTATTTTGAGGAGTTGCACAACAGTGAGGCTTGTATGGCTAAAAGCAAGGGGTGTGGGTGCAGAGAATGGTTGAAGTTGACCCCGTGTAGTGCATGGACTTTTTGGTTAGATCTTTGATGTGATTGCAGGTATGTTCCGCGATTCGGACTTTGGATGACTGCCTGCGCTCACATGCATATGTATATGGCTGGGAGGAGGCCCACTGTGACTGTGAGAAGTGATCGTCCTATATTAATAAACCTTATTTACATACGTATATACTTATGATTTGAGTGTTCGAGCGACCTATCGCGACCCTTCGTAAGGGTTAGGCAGATTATGCATTGAGAGAAAACGGAGGTCCCCTTTTATCCTTTGCTTTTTAGAGCTTTTATAGTTGGACATTGATGTCCGTGACAGCCGTCAAAGTCAAGCCCCTTGACTTATCTCCAGACCCTAGATGATGGAGTTGGTCTCCAGGGCAATAAGAGACGATTGCCACCACAGGTATGAACCTGTGTACCACCCACTCCCCGCAGGGTGAAGAAGAGGGTGTGGTTCTCAACCGCCCTTGGCGGTTGTCCAGCATCGAGAGATTAACCCTCAAGGCGCGTGTCAGCCGACACTTGAGTGTCAAATACGACCCTCGAGATTAACGAGGACCGCAGGAGTATGGGTACTACATAGTATGTCATCATTGCGATCGCTTGTGTACGCATGCATTGCGAGTCGATATGAGTTAGCCCTGCGTCCGCGCGGTTCATACTGAGTCTCGCGCGCGACGCCTATCTGATTTCCGCATCGGAAAGTTATGGGATGGCTACTAAGGGACTAGGAGTGTTGTCGCGTTGGTTGTTTTGTGTCGTTCTGTATTTGTATATGTACGTGCGTATATGTGTGTGTTTTTGTTTTTATGTTCTTAGAGTGGTGTGCGCGTGGTGCGTGGGATGCGTCCTAGTCGACTGACGATGAGTCGCGCTTGGGGCCTCAGCCCCCCAAGGCGTCGATTCGCCCCCCAAGCCCGCCTCAGTCCCCGAAGGTACCCCCTATGCTACAACGAACGAGAAATGCCCTCGCCTAGTCCATCTCTGCGATTGCAGCTGATCAGCTTTCGTACTGTGGATTGGTAGCTCGGCGGGGATACGCCCACCGAAGGGAGATGACAACTCCCGTAAGGTGGAGGTAAGTCGTGCCTCGTGTGGGCCCTATCCTGTCGTAGGGGCGCGCGAGAGGTATGGCTGGCGCACTCGGCCGGAGCGGCTTTCGGAAGCTCCATGTATGTATCGCGACGAGGATCAAGATCCAACTCCTGCGTGATGCGGCCGGGAGGGTCCCGCGTTACCCCTGAGTAGTGTCGGACCGATGCGCTCGACACCGCACCAATACCGTACCCGAAAGCATCCGTAGTCACTTGGGTGGGTAGGGTGGGGTCGTAGATACGGAGGGCCGGTGCGTCTTGCATCGCTGCCTTCAACGTATTAAACGCGCCACGAGCTGCGTCGTCGAACTCGAATGGTACCTTCGGGGACTGAAGTCTTGACAAAGGAGCTGCCACTTTGGAGTAAGACTCGACGAAGCACTGATAGTATCCAGCCAAACTTATGAAAGAGCGTACGTCTGTCGTGCAACGGGGTTCCGGTCAATCCACGATGGCTTGGATCTTGTCCTCTAAGGGACGAATGCCTTTCGGCGTCACATAATGGCCCAAGTACTCAAGCTCTTGCTTGGCGAATTCGCACTTGTCGCGATTTGCTTTGTACTTGGCTGCTCGCAATCGATCCAAAACAGTGTGAAGGTGTATGAGGTGCTCGTCAAGCGTCCGACTATAGACCAAGATATCATCCAGGTAGATTAGGACGGTACGATCGAGCAAGTCTCGGACTCAGTCGTCATGGCTGCTTGGAAAGTTATCGGGGCATTGGTGAGTCCAAATGGCATCACGACCCACTCAAAATGCCCATACCGCATTTTGAAGGTGGTCTTGTACCGATCTTGAGGCTGGATTTCAATCTGGTGGTAACCCGACTTCAAGTCCAACTTCGAGGAGTACGTCGCACCGCCCAACCGCTCAAGGAGATCATCAATTCGAGGGAGAGGGCCGACGTTCTTAACGGTTTGTGCGTTAAGTTTTCGATAGTCAATGCACAGCCGTAGGACCTTGTTCTTCTTCCGGACGAAGAGAACTAGTGCACCGTATGGCGAACAACTAGGGCGAATCCAGCCCTTATCGAGAAGGTCATCGAGTTGTGCGCGAAGCACCTCGAGTTCCTCTTCGCTCATGCGGTAAATGCATCCACGCGGAGGGATGACACCCGCCTCGAGAGTAATCCCGTGACGTATGGGCCGATCCGAAACCGTTCTGGTGGGAGCCTCGAAAACGTCTCCATACCCGTCCAAGAGGTGAGTAATGCATAGGTCCGGTGGTGACGCGGCTGGTTCGTCCGGCGAGGGGAGAGCATGTAAAAAAACAAGGCCCATATAGCGTGGCGAATTCTCGCAACGGAAACCACGTGACAAGCAATCGAAGTGTGAGGGGCCGCGACCGTACATGGGACTAACACTCCGTTCCGATCACGAATGTGAACGGTTCGGTCATGAAAGTTCACCGGATGATCGGTGCTATGTAACCAAGACGTGCCTAGAATCATGTCAAACTTGGTGTCGAGGATGTTGAAAGATGCAAGGGGCGCAAAGTATACCGGGACGTCGTCAACGCATCAGTCAATCGACTTTTGCGTGCGGCCATCCGCGAGTGTAACTTGCGTAGGGTGTGTCTTCCTTTGAACACGAGGGCCAAGGCTTGCGCGGGCCATAAAGGCTTGGCTCATGAAATTGCGAGATGCTCCGCAATCAATTAAGGCGCTGCAAGTTGCCTTTCCGATTTAAATGCGGGTATAGAGCAAAGGTGCGTCGGTTTCGGCGTACCTTTGGGTGGCATACTCGCGGTCAATCTTCGCGAGATAGGAGCGGAGATCAACAACCGCTACTCCGTCGTCCGTCAACGGAGCAGGTATTGCAGCGTGCAAGTAGGAGCGTAGATTTGCCATGAAGGCGTTACAATGCGGCCTTGGCAAGGTTCTGGTTGAGGGTAGAGGCATCCAAGTGAAGTCCTCTCTCGTGAGTGGGTCAAGCTCCTCAAGTCTTGACCACGCCGTCGAGTCCTCGGAAATCAGTGGCGAACTGACCGGCTCACTTGCCGACGGTGTACAGGCTGCGCATACGCTATCTAAGTGCACGTGGCTAGGCTGGTCTAATGGTGGCACCAGCTGTGGTGGCACCAGCTGGGCATAATCCTCGTACGTACGCGAGAATCAGCGAATAACGCATGCTCCCCGGTAGTGATATCGACTGCTAGCAAGGCAACTGGTTCCGGCGGAGTGAGGAGAGGCGTCGCCCCTCTCCGTGCGTAACTCAGTTTCCCGAGTTAGCTGGACGGGGTACGCGTGCCTTGCTCTTTTCCGAGCATTGTGTCGTAGTGTGGTTTACACTATTGCACCATAGGCAATATCCGTACAGTTGACGAAGGTCAAATACTTCCTTGGTAAAGTTGTATGTCGTCCATGGTTGCTACCCAGTTCCCGTCGATGTCGTCGCTTATGTTGCCTTGTTCTTCCGAACTCTCTTGGGACGTTTCGGCGGGAGCGCTGCGACAACTCCATCACTTGAGGATGCTGCTGCAGCGTGGAGATCGATTGATTCGTCAGGAATCACGACGTTGTTATGTGCCGGTCGTTGGTAGCCTTGCTTAGCCACATAGTGCGACTGGGACTGCCGTTTGTTGGCGGCCTTGTCATCCGTTTGGATGACCAGGTTCGCACGATCGAGAATAACCTGGAATGAGGCATAGTCGTACTCGTTGCCGAGTGCCGACCATCGTCCTGCGCACGATCGCAAAAAGAATTCGGATCGTTGGTTTGGGAAACTCAAGTCGAAGCCTGGAGTGGTTACTATCGTCTGCCACTTGATCGTCCAGTCTCGAGTTGGCATGTTCCCTTGTGAGCTGGAGTAGACGTCGTTCATGGCCGCCTTTACAACGTTGCTGACCATGAATCGAGTGAACCACATTTGCTTGAACTGCTTCCACGGAATGTGAGTGTGCAGTTGGGCGATGGTGCATTTCAGATTGGCCGCGGTATGGTTCATCCATGCCTGTGCTCCTCCAATGAGTTGGAGGTAGAGCGCTTTCATCATGTCTTCGGTCGGTACAGTGTAGCAGGATCCTTCGGTGAGGAAGCTTTGCCACCATGTCAAGGCGTCCGTCTTGTTGTAGTCGTCAAACTTGCCGATGTTGAAGCGTGGCATCTTGTATGCCTTTGTAGCGGCGTCCGGTCTTGACTGCAGCTTGGTGATGTCCGTCTTGATGGCGGCCACCGTGCTGCTGATTGTGGCCGGACTAGTGAAGTCACCTAGTTCGCCGATAATAGGGACGACATGGTCGATGCGCTCCCCGAGCTGCTTCGTCGTGTCTGTCGTGCAGCTTGGCGCTGCTGAGGCCTTAGCCTTGATGATGTTGATGCGTGTGGTGGTGGTGTTCAACAGCTGTTGCTGTTGTTGCTGATGTGTGGCGGCAGCGCGAGCAGCGGCTGTTAAGGCTGCAACGTCTTTCTGTTGAGTCTGTCTCAACTGTCTGCCCTCGTATATCTGCACTGTCAACATCGTATTGTTCCACATCACCGCCCTCATCATGGTCAGCATCAGGTTAGCCAGGTTACTCCTTTCTGCCTCCGCCGGTGTCGGATCCACCTGCTCGTCCGAAGGCTAAAAAAACATGCCTTGGAATAGTACTGTCCAGTGACTCTCATTCTGAGTCAAGGACTCCATGCTGATGGCCTTCCGCTTGTCTCGAATCGTCACGTCAGCCTCAGCAATTCGTTGAGCTTGGGATGCCGCCTCATTGGCAAGCCGCTGTCGTTCTGCCTCTGCTGCCTCCTTCTCGGCCTTAGCGATGACATCTATAAATGCATGTACCCACTGAAGGTAATCTGACAACATCTCGTGGTCCCCTTGGACCGGACATGCGGGAAGAGCCCCGGTGGTAACCGGTACTGCAGTTGTTGTACTCGATGCCGCTGGAGTCGTTCGCTTGCTGAGCCGTTGTTGCTGATACTTAGTTCGTGGAGGTAACACATGCCGCTGGAGTCGTTCACCTGTTGAGCCGCTGTTGCTGATACTTAGTTCGTGGAGGTAACACAGAGTGGCTACGAACTGCGATCCTAGCACTGCGTCGTGGCAGTGCCATGGTGTCCTGTTCCGTCGACATCAGCACAGGCTGATGTGGTACTTGAGAAGTCCCGGTGGTCACAGATTACGGGGAGGGTAGGGAGTGTGGGAACAGGGGTAGGATAGATCACTCAAGCAACATACAATCCCCTGTCCCAATGTGGACTAGACACCTAATAAAAAAAAAAAGATGAACTTTTCCCCCAAAATAACTTAAGAATTCGAAAGAAGAAATAATAACAAATTAATAATCAATAAATTTTAATTAATGATTAATAACGAATAGTCTCTCAATAAAATTAATCAATAATTGCAATAATGATTAATAGGGAATTTTAAATTGTGGAAAGATTAGGTGAACGTTGAGATCACCTATCGTCCGAGAGTTCACCGTTGTTAGTGAACTACCCGGAAGTTGCAGTTCTGAGGTAACAGTTCCGAACAGTTTGCCAAATGAAAATTTTTCGGATAGTCAGGAAAAAAAAAAACACTCGAATTTTCAAAAAAACATGAAATTTCAGGAATTTCAACCTAACCAGTCCGATTTTCAAAAGACCGGAGTCCGTATTCGAAAATTCTCAACTAGGGAAAGAAAAAGAATTTCGTGAAAATTTCGGATTCCAACAATAATTTTCCGCGATTTCGTGGAATTTCTGATTTCCCCAAATTGAACGAAAAACCGAAATTTTATCGCAACCCTAATTCCAATATTCTGTTTTTATTTCGGTATTGGAATTAGGGTTGCGATAAAATTTTGGTTTTTTGGTATTGGAATTAGGGTTGCGATAAAATTTCGATTTTCCGTTCAATTTGGGGAAATCAGAAATTTACCGAATTAAACAGAATGCCGAATTCAAGCAGAATACCGAATTCAAATCAGAATGCCGAATTAAAACAGAATACCGATTTAAACAGAATACCGAATTAGAATCAGAATACCGAATTAAAACAGAATACCGATTTAAACAGAATAACAATTAGACGGAATACCGAATTAAAACGGAATGTCGAATTGAAACAGAATACCGAAAAAAAAAAAAATTGCAACTTTGAATCTCGATAGTAATGCAAAACCGATTTGGAAAATCGAATGAGCAATCTATTCCCTAATCAGACTTACCTTGTGAGCAGATCCATTGTTTGGTCTGCTCCGATACGAAATGTGAGGATTGAGCCCTCAAGAAGGGGCCTTGCCGTGATGTACATATTCGGGGCTAAGGCCCCCAGCAAGCCTCGTCCCCGCCCTAAGTGATGGCGGGCCAGCAAATCAACAAGAGCCCTCTGTGCAAACATTTCACGAAGTGGGGTCCATACAGTTGCAGCACGCCAGTTGGTTGGAGTGCACCGA